TACGGATATGACGTTTTACACACGCATCATTACCCGCGTATAATATTCGATCGGGTTAGGAAGCCATGTTGCCTATAGATCGCATGCACGGGTTAGGATGCAGTTTTCGATAGAAACGTGATAAAAGATGATTGTAGGTAATACACAAGTGCTAAATAATACTTCAGATAGGATTTATCTGCTCAATAATAGGTTTAAGTGAATTATCTGTTTGGTTTATAAAGTATACATAAGTTGCAAGTGGATTCCATTCGAGGAATTTCGGGTTATGAACATTTCGATAGACATTTCTATCTCAAAACACAATATAGTAATCTTAAATAATAAAATTAAATGCAAATACTATATTTGCATGTTTCGTATCATTACTTTATGGATTTGTTGTTACAATAATATATTTATCCAATTATATAACAAAAGAGAAGAAGCTACGTTCGTAACAGACATATCTGAAGAAGTTACGGAGTGAAAAACATGTATAAAATGAATGACATGCAGTTTCTGGTGGAAAAATGTATTGACCTGATGTGCATTGGCCTCCACCTATCACATCTAAGGTTTGAAGCGAGCTTAGCGGAGTCAGCAGAGGATTCTCCTTTAACTAATCATGTTTATAAGCTTTGAGGAATGCATCTTAATATTGGTGATCAGGGTCTTGTTCATCAAGAAAAAATTTTAAAATCATTTTTCTCATATAGTGTAGCCCCAACACTATATTATGATTTTGAACAATTTAGAATCTACACTTTATCGGAAAGCTTCTACATAAGTTTAATTTTTCTGGTCCACACTAGTTCTCAAGATGTTAAAATCACACATCACAATTATCACTTATACAGTTGAACTGTGGTACATGTATCTCAAACATGGATATGTTGAATACCATGGATACGTCAAAGTCAGTGGGAACTTCTGACCAGACCACATATTCCTTAATTCCTTGGATATCTCGAATTTTTCTCGGTTCCATCAAGATCGAGATAATAAATTTGAAAAAAAAAACAAAAATTTTTAATAAGCAAACTTGAATCCCCTTTACCCAAGAGATAATTGACAAAGCTCACTTTAGCAAAGCAAAAATCATCTGAAGCAGGCCTGATATAATGCATCCTTAGATGTATCATCCATGGAAGATAATGTTTGGTAAACATAGGACTTATGGTTACTTGGAAATAAGACCTGCACCAATACATTAACCTGTTAACACATGCAGAAAATGAAGGTCAGATCCAGCATCTGAAGCAAGCCTGGAAGTATGCCATCCTTTGAAGTATCTCCTTGCAAGTTTGGACTACATGGGACTTATTACTTATTAAAATTAAACGTATGCACCAAAAACATTAACCTGTTCACTCATGCGGAAAATGTATGTCAGATCCAGCATCTGAAGCAATCTTGGTAGTATGAATCCATAGATATATCATCCCTGCAAGTTTGGTCTACATAAGGACTTATCGTTACTTGAAAATGAGACCTGCACAAAAAACTCATCCAGAAAATGTAGGTCAGATCCAGCAACTGAAGCAAGTTCATTAGTGTGCATACTTAGATGTATCATGCATGCAAGTTTGGTCAAAATAAGACATTGTTACTTGGAAATGGGACCTGCACCACTTGACAATGGAGAGCTGCAAACTTTGACCTCGATCTACTCGACACTTGGGGCCATTAAATGAGCAGTGACAGATTTTTCATGCCAGCGTCCACTGCCACACAAGACCTCCCTTTATTTTGCCCAATCCAAAGGATTGGTGATCTCCATGTCCCACAGTGAGATTTGAACCCCACTCCTTGACTCTATGAAGCAGACACTCTTCAACTGCGCCATGTAGGCGACCCTTTAAGTCTGAACCATCATTATAATATAGAGCAATACACTGTATGTGTACTGAATGTTTTAATATCAATAAAATCAAAACATACAAAATTGAAAGTTGAGTATTAAAAAACTTTATAAATGCATGTACAAATACATTGTATTCATAAGTTGATTTAATCTGATTATTTGAACAGAAACCAATGAAGATTTCTTGAATTTTATCATTAAATTCAAATTTTGAAAAAGTTTTTTTACCATAATTAATGAATCCATACATTTCCCAAATCAAATTTACCAGAGTAATGTCTGAACAAATAGTAATATTTACCAGTAAAAACACTACATTAAAATAAAATTTATTGAATACCAACATTCTAAATTCACATGACTTGAAGAAAGTTATATAAAACTGACATGTATAAAAAAAATATATGTTCTAATTATGAATTAATGAAGATAATAATTAATTAAAAATCATAAATTCTACAGATTAGTTTATCAGTACCATGCATCTTAACAGTGAGCAATTAGAAATTTCCACAGTTAAAGGGCAATAACTCTCTTGAACACTGATTTATAAAAAGACATAAGATGCAAACTTATTTTTCTAAAAAATAACAGCATAAATTTGTACTTTTTTCATTTAAAAGTTTCATAATAATGTCATATTAGTGATAAAAGTAAATATTTATAAGGATGATGGCAAAAAAGGTAACATTTTGAACAAATCATAGAAAGTTAATTATATTAAAAACACCTTCTTATCATTTTAGAAATTCAATATTTTACATCATTCACAACCAAATTACAATGTTAAATAAATATCAGCTAGTCCATACATCTATTTGTTTGTATCACCTGTCCTTAAATTTGAAATATATACAATGTAAATTAACCCAATACATACTACCAGGTCAACAAAGAAAGAAAAAAAATGAGAAATTTTCATGGTCTAAGGGCAATAACTCTTTTGAATAACTGGTCAATAGTCACCATACCTAATACCGGTATATAAGTTTACTTCCTAAAAGTAGGAAGAGATATCACACAGCAATACTACCTACATGTACAATGTAGTACAATTGTATCTCAATGATAAATGTTCATGTAATCTAGATACAGTTATACTAGACCCAACTTGCATTAATTTGAAAAAGAGAATTAATTATTTGAGAATTTTTTAAAAAGGAGTCCAAGTATGTTCTAGACTTATGAAAACATTGTTAATTATCAAAGTTCTCAACAATAAATGGATATCAAATATCCCAGGGGAGGCTTGAATTCAGTATGACATGAATAAAAATTTAAATGAGCACAACTGAGAACTTAAATTTAAGTTAATTTACAAAATAAGTTTACATACAAATAAAAGTGACCAGTTCCATTTTAACTAGTTCTACATTTTACTGGTTCCCCTGCTCTTCATCCAGATCCTGTTCTAACAACTGGCTCTTCAGACTCAGCGGTTCCAGTCGGTCCTCCGGTGGTAACATCTGGTTCTAACAACTGGCTCTTCAGACTCAGCAGTTCCAGTCGGTCCTCCGGTGGTAACATCTGGTTCAAGCGCTCCATCTTGGGGACCAGGTTCTGCATGCTGTCCTTGACCCGATTAAGAATGGAGAGCGTCTCCGAGATCTGCTGAAACTGGTCCGCGTGTTTGTTGTATTTCTTCTGCTTGTCCTGCATCATGCCCAGTTTATTGTATTGCACAATCAATCTACAAAACAGAGAGAAGAGAGTGGAAGTTTCCTTTGATTTGTTTTCATATATTCTCTGGCTAAGGAAATTTTGCAGTTTTAACTTTCCCCCAAAAAATATAGCAAAAAGTGAACATAAAGTAGACCTATCTAAGATTTTTCTACAGGAATTTACTTTATGAATATCTAATTCTAAACTATTAAGAACACACTGCTAAATATAGATGTCCAGTACTAGTACTACATGTACCCTGTCAATAAAATTACCCAACTGTTGAAGTACTTTACAATTCTATTCTATAACTGTACTGAATGAAATAAACCCTTATTACATGTATATGAACTTTATAAAAATCTGCAATAAAAATAAGGCTTCACAAATACTTTAATTTATTAAAGGTATAGATGTGAAGAGAATGCAAAACTGAGGAAATTTAAATACATATGAATGTATCAAACAATGTTCAGTAGAAAAATCAGTTCTAAACCCTAGCTGCAGAACTGTAGCTCTTCGAAAAAAAAGAGGCCCATGAGCCACATTGCTAACCTGAGCATTGTGGCTAAGAAAAATTCGAAATTGGTTTATTATTAAAAAGTTTAAATCCAAAATTAGTCCTATGACCAATCATGTCTTTGCTATTCTTGAAAAGATGATTTTTAAAGAATTTTCCTCTATATTTCTAAATAAAACTTTGGTCGGCCATTGTGGCCCCGCCCTATACCTGGGGGCCATGATTCGAACAAACTTGAATCTACACTACCTGAGGATGCTTCCATATAAATATGATGAATTATGGCTTTGTCATTCTTGAGAAGAAGATTTTTAAAGAATTCAATATATATATATTTCTAAGTAAAACTTTGGTCGGCCATTGTGGCCCCGCCCTACCCCCAGGGTTTTAAGAAACAAGAATCTACACTACCTGAGAATGTTTCCCCATAAGTTTGATCTTTCTTGGCACAGTGGTTCTTGAGAAGAAGATTTTTAAAACATCCCACCAAATTTTTCATTAATTCCCAATTATCCCCCTTGAATGAGAGTGTGGCCCTTCATTTAAATAAACTTGAATTCCCTTTACCCAAGGGTGCTTTGTGGCAAGTTTGGTTGAAATTGGCCTAGTGGTTCTTGAGAAGAAGATGAAAATGTGAAAAGTTTACGACGACGCTGATGGTGAGGACGACAGACAACTGACAAATTTTGATCAGAAAAGCTCACTTGAGCCTTCGGCTCAGGTGAGCTAAAAAGTAAAAAAAAGGAAAAGAAAAAAAGAGATTCTTTTCTTTTTGACTATATAGCCATCTGATTCTTCTTAACTTAATGATTACGTGTAATAAAACTTTATTCAAGGTTTCCATGTGACCAATTCAGAATGTATATAGACACTGACCTGATTGAGACTGTGGGTGTAGGACTTGCCCACAGGCTTTTTGTCTGGCCCCCGTCTCTACGTCCCATATGGACACCTCATTATTTCCCTGGGTGGCCGAAATTAGCCAGGACTGCTCCTGGGGGTGCATGATCAACCTCCTTACTCGGCACCTGTCCATAGCAATATAATTATCAATATAAAAACTTACCAATAATGAAGGGCACCTGTCCATAGCAATATAATTATCAATATAAAAACTTACCAATAATGAAGGGCACCTGTCCATAGCAATATAATTATCAATATAAAACTTACCAATAATGAAGGGCAGTTTTTTATTATGAAAAACACATTGATTCCTACCTATAGGATGGACTATGGAGTTGATGGGAAGCTGGAATCTCACGTCCCAACAGACACGTGTACCACTGCTGGTCTCCACAGCCAACCAACACTGGGAGTGGTGTACAGCAAAGGATGTGATCAACCCTATAACAGTCAACCAACACTGGGAGTGGTGTACAGCAATGGAGGTGATCAACCCTATAACAGTCAACCATTAAACAGAAAACAGACAATCGACTGTATGTTAAAATCTGGTATGATGGTTAAGTTGAATACCAAAAAAATGTAATAATCTGTTCCAAATATTAACATTTCAGATATGATCTTATGTTTAAAATCTTTTCTAATTTTAAGGATGATTACACGGATAATTTTTCTCAAATCAAAAGTTACTTCCTTTTTAATTTACTACCCTGTGTATGACTTGATTGCTTTGCCTGTTACCTGATTTGGGATCATTTCTGAGCTTCCAGACTTCCTTATTAGAGTAAAGATCATGTCCCACTAAGACCCCATTGACTGCAGCATACGATAAAACAGACTGGGCACCTGTAAAAGGACAGAACCCTTGAAGAACTCATACACCAAGATATCCTAACACTTAAAATCTGAACAAAAACTTCAAGACAACGTTTAAAAATTTTCCTTTGTTCATCATAATTCTTTTCCCACTTTACACAATATATAAAATTGCCTATTTCATAATACATGTGCATATCTAAATAATCATGCTATGTCAAGATACATATAATTGTGCAGTGCTGTACCTGTATCAAAGTATGTGAGATCTACTATGTTTCCATAGTCTGACTTGTCCACATTAATAGCTTTGTTTCAAGTGGTACGTCTTTCCTGCCTCTATCCTGTTAAAAAAAGCAAATCAATAAAAGAAACAATTAATTTATTTCTAACTTCAATATATAAAACACACTACTGACTTGTAAATGTTGATTGCCCCCATGTCGGTGAATGTGGCCAGAGAGAGAAAACAGATCCAGGAGCTTCACAGAAAACTAAACCTTCCACTTTCTCTCCTAGTCAAACAAAGCAGTAATCCGCACTTATACGTATCTACATTCAAGTATAAATCAGATAATTAAAAAAAAATCACATATATTTTTCTTTCATCCTAAATTATTTTTCTGACGATTCAAAGAAAATTGGATATTCATAAAAAAAAATCCATGACATAATACAGTGTATATCAAAGTAATTTGTTATTTTACCAGGTACAGAAGTATTCTTGAGGGTCTGTTTAGAGCAGTTAGCAACACTGTTTCCCTCCAGTTTTTCAGACTCCCATAATTTGACTGTACCATCATTGGAGGCCACGGGGCAAAGAATGCATGGTCTTGAGAAACTTGAATCCTTCTAGTAGATAACACATTCTTTAATTACGTACATGTACTAGTATATAATAACAACTTATTTGGCTAAGGCAGTTAAATTTCAATTAAGTCATTGCTGAATAGTATTACATAGAGAAGATGAATGTTAGTGCTTAGAAGAGTTATTCCCCTTGATGGTAAACTTTTCTTTTTATACAGGTCATTAATCAGTAGTTTCTGTGCCCCTCTCTCTACCTGTTGACTGTCGCCCTGTGTTCCTGGAGGTGGGTCACCAGTAGCCCCTTGGGTTTCCAGTTACTGGGTGGGGGCCTCCTCTCCCAGGCTGTCTCCAGTAAGTCTTTAGACTCGGCCGAGTACAACTCTTGCTTCCTGTGTACAATGTTCCTCAGGACTATCTTACAGGGATATTTTGCTGTAATTCAAAACATTGTATTTTTTTAGGATTAAATGCTTCAAATAGCAGTAGTATTTTAGCACTAAAACATACAATGTAATACATCTACATGTATATCACATGTTTATCAGCACAGTAAATTAAAATTTTCAAGCAAATGACTGATACTTATACATGGAGATTTTTACTTGTGAGATTTTTGTCTGTGCCTTTCTCTGTCCGAGATCTTACTGACCCCTCAGATGTCACCTGACTCTGTGACTGACCTCTCAGATGACCCCTGACTCTGTGACATCATTACAAAGCTTCCCGATGATGAAGATGATGCCTGACTTAGGGTCTGTAAAGTGTTTAGCTTAATTCCTCTCCAGACTCTCGGCAGTTTTCTGTAGGGTCCGGGCTTTTGGAGACAAGCTATTGGAGGAGGAATCTGATTCATTGGAGCCAAGCATACTCTTCCACTTAGAGTTCTGAAATATCCATACAATATCATAAATTAATATTAAGTTACCATTAACAGATCCCTTTATAATATTTTTTTTTGGTAAATTAAAATGTAGACATTTTTGGTTTTTAAATAACTTTGTAACAAAAAAATGTAGAGTAATACTATACAGCTACTCACCATGTTTACAGATTGGTCCTTTGGATTTGTCTTTTTAAAAGAACAACTAGACCCCCCCCCCCTCCCCCCCACAAAAAAAAACAAAAAAAAAAAACCACTTACATCAATGAATATCAACATTCTCATTTTTTGGAAGCAAAATTTCTCCATGTATAGGGGTAAAAATTTATCTATTATTTATTTTATGCAAACATTTCGAATTAAATTGTAACCCCCGTGCTCCAAATTTTAATGATCCAACTGAGTTTTGCACTACTGATATTATCTATCAACAGGAAAACACTGTGTACAGTCAGTAGTATTTACAGTACACAAACATGGAAGTACTTAGATCCACTCCCCATTGTTTTGGATCTTTCTGTTTCAGTAATTCAGCATGTCTCCTGGTCATTGCTTTACCTATAGGCCCACAATACAGAATCTACCGTGGGAATACCCCGACTCTTCTTTGGTCTCCACAGACCTAAACAGAGAATAGATAGTTTTCGATAGGCCTGATTTAAGCGAGAGTTAATTAATACTAAATCCCATTGGCCACCATATTGGAGGTAGACTCGTTGATTTCCTCTCTTTGTCTTACCAAGTTAAGATTAGGATGTAGCAGAAATATTTGGTGGAAAATCTTTATCAAATAATTTTTTTTTTAACAGAGGCTTACAAAAATTTATTTACTTCGCAAAATAATGATTCCTAATTCAAAATAGCAAATATAAAATATCTGAAGATGCTGACATATTTAAGAAATAAACAACGTTATTTAGTGAACATGGCGTTATGTATAGCAATTGCTCTGCTGGCATATTCCATGATGCGCACTAGCGCATCATGGAAAATATGCCAGCAGAGTTATTGTTATTCATTACGCCATGTTCACTAAATAATCGTTGTTTATTACTTATATTTGCATTCTTTGATGTTGTCAAGAATATCAGAGGAAATCCTGACTTACATAACCTTGGACGCAGCTTCTTCTGTCTTCAGTAAAGAAAACCATACAGCTTTAAAACCAGTACACCTGATCAGTACTCCTTTCTCTAATAAATCACAATTTATAAAGTAATTCCCTCTCAAACACATTTATCTGGATATAAGCAGCGCCGTCATCGCATTCTCTTAATTTTTGTTTTGATGCAGTCGTGACATCATCGATCAACGTTATTGAAATCCTCTGACAAAAATCAATAATTTAACACTATGATAAATATGAGAATGCTTTTATAATGATTATTGCTCCAGTATGCTTTTCTGTGATTTTTTTGGTACATTTTCTTATTTTTTTTTTCTTGATATAGATCTAGATCTAGATCTACCAGTTAAAAAAATTTTCTTTTTGAATGTTATTACCCAAGTGTGAAGAGTTATCGTTCTTTGTACAAGTATGCATGATACGAAAAAATAAAAATATGGAGTTCTATTCAATTTTTAAAAAGTTTCATATTACAATTAAATACATTGACCAAAATTAAATTTTTAAAGATATCAAACAGCAATTTTAAATTGTTCTGAATTCCTTTTTTTCCAAAAAATATTATTAAAAACTTATATTTAGTGCTTTTACAAAACACTTCATATATATACTTCTCAACACGGTTTATAAGTGTAGTAGAACTTGTTCTACACGAGTGAGATAGAGCAATTGCACTCATAGCAGAAGCAATTGCGTTTATAGTCCTATGAATGCAATTGATGGCTGCATGTTCATAGTGGGAGAGAGCTGTGGATATGCAAATATAAATATATATTATCATTTATGCCTTTGCTTATTCTTGAGAAGATTTTAAACAAATTTTCCTAAGGCTATATATTTCTATGTAAAACTTTGATCATGTAAAATTTTGATTGTCCCTTGTGGCCCCAACCTACCTCAGGGGGTCAAGATTTGAACAAACTTAAACCTACACTACCTAAGGACGAATCCCCCATAAGTTTCATCTTTCCTGGCAGAGTGGTTCTTGAAAAGATTTTTAAAACAATTCCACCAAATTTTCACGAGTTTCAATTATCTACCCTTGAATTTGGGTGTGGCCCTTCATTTGAACAAAATTGAATCCCCTTCCCCCAAGGATGCTTTGTGGCAAGTTTGGTTAAAATTGGCCAAGTGGTTCTGGAGAAGATGTCGACAGACAGACAGACAGACTACAGACAAAATGTGATTATAAAAGCTTACTTGAGCTTTCAGCTCAGGTGAGCTAAAAGGGTAACTGAGATCGATTCTTCATGTTATTGCATCTTTTTCTGTCCATGCATCTTTACACATAATTTTTTCAAACACTTTGCTTTTAAGATAACAGAAAACAGAACATTATGGATATTAATCTCAGTGAGATGGGTAGAGACTGAAAATTTGGTCTGACGTCTACTACCCATCTCAGTGCATTGCCACACAACATGATTCGGGGTTTTTTGCCCCGACTTCGGCAGCTCATTTCAATAATTACAGGCTGAAATGATTTAGCTGTCCGCCTCAGCTTTTTCCTTTGAACATCCCTTAAAGTCTCTATCACTACAAAACTTTCCTTTCTTACCTTTAAAAGGTTTAAATCCAACAAAATATAAAGTTGTTTATTTTTCCTGACAGCATGATGGCTGTCTGCTATTCATTTAAACCTCCAGTGTTGAAGAGTTCCACAATAATCCGTTTTTAATAATTTGTTCTACTACAATTTCTAATAAGAATGATCTATAGTATGCATTATTAAAAACGGATTATTGTGGAACTCTTCAACATTACAAAAAGTTACAATATGTTTTCCTGATGCTGATATTACTTAACATTTACAATATGGTAAATGCTTCTGAGGAAGAATAAGGATAATTCCATTATATGTTTACTGTAAAACAAGAATATTTGGCGCACCAATAATGTTAGTGCCTTTGGCGCAAGAGCCCCTGGACATTAAATTTTTTTGTGCGATAACGGATGTCTAAATATTTTTTTGTGTGTTAATGTTCAAACTTTCACATATTAAGTACATGTAAATGGAGGTGCGATTACATAATATCGAAGGGCCGATAGATTTTATGTATATACAAGCACTGTACATGGTCGGATCAATCAAGAAATTTCTGCCAAATTTTAATTTAATAAAATTATTGTTAGTTGTTACCCGATACTTACTATAGCACCTTCAAAGTTTGGCTTCTCCCCGTGTCAATCATCTATCGCTCTAAAGTAAACAATGCAATCAAGCATGGCGATTGAGCTTGCAGACAATACTTGATTATGATTACCATTTATGGTTATACTTACAGCTAGCCCCTGTGCAGAGAAAACTGGAAATGTCACCATACACACCTCAGTCCCACAAATCACTGCTAAAAACGAACAATCAGATTTGGTCAAAAAAACGTTCACAATCAGTATGATACCAGAAGAACAGTATCCCTCAACATCTTGGATTAGAGTTTATACAGACGGATCAGCCAAAAATGCAACAACAGAAGGAGGAGCGGGTATCTACATCGAATACCCTAACGGAGAAAAACAGTCAGAGGCAATACCAACAGGCCTTCATTGTTCCAACTACAAAGCCGAAGAAGAAGCCATCACCCATGCAGTATGCTCCATCAGAGACAAGGCCAACAAAACAATAAGTGTAGTATTCCTGACAGATGCCCTATCTGTATTGCAAGCCATTAACAACGGTAAACTCCCCGAACTTGAACAAGATCTACACAACATCGAAAGCCTTCAAACAGCATTACAATGGATACCATCTCACTGCGGAATCAAGGGAAACGAAAATGCTGATCTGCTAGCAAAGGAAGGAGCCAAACAACAGCAATATGAAAACCAAGTAGGCTTCTCAGAGATGAAAACCATCATCACATCTCTACACAGAACCCCTCAACAACAAGACAGCTATCACCAACTGGCTAGACCTGAGCAGACGACCATCTTCAGACTTAGGACAGGACAAAATAGACTCAACCAACATCTGCATAGAGTCATGAAAGTCATACCATCACCCATGTGTCCATGTGGAGAAGCTGAGCAGAATACAGAACACCTCCTACAACACTGCAGAATACACCAGGCACTGAGAAACAACACATGGCCAACACCAACAACGCTACAAGAGAAGCTTTATGGACCAGTGGAAGCCCTACAGAAGACCACCAGATTTGTAGAGGAGACTGGGACTCAAGTGTGATTCGGCGAACAAAGAGAAGAAGATAACCGTTTATCAAAGTAACTTCATTGTTATAATATGAATAAAATGCATAAATACTCTATTTCTTTTATTTAAAATAAAATTTAACATTGTGCCACGTCCATGTGATTGCAACACTAAAGAAAAGTTGACGAATGTTTACCTAATTACGAGAGTGATATTGTGTTTCCGTGATTGACTAACCAAAAAGACAAATTGGGGGTGGATAAAAAATATCACATTTATATATATTTACAGGTCCCTGATTTAATGGCAAGTGCAAGTGCTAAAATTTATTTGCACCAATGCATTCCTACTTGTATTTGGGCTAAGATACGTATGCGCCAAATTTTCTCGTTTTAAAGTATTTATTTTGGATATGATTTATCTCCTGACACAGTGATTAATATGTAAATTTACAAAGTTATTATTTGTCTATAATATTTTATAAAGTTTGCCATCATCATTATTAATGCCCAGCACTAAACAATGTTTATAAAGGTATTATCTGCTTCTGACACTTTATAAAGGTAACAACATAATTTAAATTACATAAATTTAAATTGAAAGATTTACAACTTCAAAACTTTTTTGTAGTTCTGACAGGTTTATCAACACTTAAATGATCATCTGACAAGATATGTCCTTAAGTTTGTTGTTTTACCTGAGGTTGAGATGACAGCTCGACAACAGGAGGTCACATTGGAGGACACTTCTAAAAATACCACCACGAGTTCTGAACTTAAGTCCTTCCCGCAAGTCGACTCGTCAGACTCCAGTAACTTGAGTTGTCTGTTGACTCTCTTGAATATACAGTACTTTGGCATCAAAGCCAACATCTGTCTCTCAATCCTGACATTTTGACCTTTCAACTCTATTCCAGCTGGGTCAAGGTCATCAAATTCTGCATCTGGAATGCCTGTTTTGTAGAACATTACAAATGAAGATACAATGTACAAATTGGTGATTTTAATTGAACCACAAAAATAGTTAGTTTAAACATTTATTGAGGGGCATATGGTGTCAGATTTTAAGTACCAGTCCACATAAAAATCAGACAAAGGGTGATATATGAGGGTTCTCAGAATTTGATGATTTTTCACTCATAGATTTATTTTGAAGTATGAACAATGTATGTAAAATAAAAAATGTTTTGAGTCATGGTAACCATGGAAACCTGGCCAAAGAAATTTCCTTAGCAACCGGCGGATTTTTCAGTGTTGAAGGACAAAAAATCACCTATCTTTGAGGCTTAAAATAACACGTAAATACCATTGAGAATTATTCTTACTTATGGGTGTAATAAAGATACACATTTATTTTGTTCTAATAATGTAATAAAAAATATTTAGGTCTTAAGTCAGTTCTGTGGTAGACATTGGAAGGTACATATGTTTTACAGGTTTTGCTGATTCAGCATTTTTCGTGATTTTGGCAATATTCAAGGCCAAATTTTAAAAATGGCCAGATTAATACAGTTGTTGCATGTATCTCAGATAAAAGCAGAGGTATTTCTCTTTTAGAATTTGAAGTCAAATCCATGGGCTCTTTTGAAAATCGAATCTGTTGCCTAGCAACAAAAATGGGCTTTTTGATGCATAAAATGAGAAACAATGTAAAAAGTTTACGGAAAAATCAAATGAACGGTTATTTATGATAAACGAGATAAAATTTTAAAATAGTATAATTAAATTCGGTCTCCCTAGCACATTATTGAATATTGCATAATTCTTTATCTCCATAGCAACGACAGGTTCTCCATAGCAACAAGGCAAAGAAAGGTAATTTTGGCGTGTATTCGTGTAATCTTATTAAGACTTATTCAAAATAATTCAGAAAAATCCGGTTGAGCAAAATTGACAATGAAATGTTGGTTTTATTATTGTTATTTTTTTGGTACTTAATCAACCCATATGGCAAGGATTCCATGTACATGACAACCAAAGTTCCTATGTCTCCTGTAAAACAGATTTGACTTTGGGATTGTACTGTTTGTCATGGAATTGGATATTCAAGTAATATGCTGATAATTGCATGGTGATAGTTCGGAAAGACTCTAAAATGTTGTATCAAGTTATTGAATATTGTTCAATGACTTATTTCCATAGCAACAACACCACTCCCCTAGCAACGACTCAAAGAAAGTTTGACGCATATTCATGTTACCTGTAAATCTTTATCTAAATTACGTCACGAAGAAAAAAATGATGTTGAAATGTGTGTTTTTCGAAAGTATTTTTAAACTCATTTAATCCATAACAACTATTTCTAGAACATAGCAAACAATGTTACATTTTCAGTATGGAATACTCTGTAGTCGTTATTCATAATATTGAAAGATTCGGCACTCGTCATAGATTTCTCAGAAAGTATTACAATGTATGAATTAATTCCTCATGAAAACTAGAGGTACTGTGAGCAATGAGCTCACTAAATGATACCCCCCGCCTCCCATATGATTATGATAGCAAAGTCCATGTTTTGCGGTGGCCGGGAAACTCAAAATATTTGTAAGATCAAAAAATAAAATAGGAGGTGCACAATGGCAATATGTAATAAAGATTCTGTGAAAGTTTCATTAAATTTCACTCAGTGGTTTAAGAGGAGTTGAGGATAAGAGATGGGTACCCCAAAGCGTAACAGACGGACGGACGGACGGACAGACGTACGGACGGACAGACGGACGGACGGACGGAATTAACGATTACTATATACCCTCCCGCTTTTCAAGCGGGGGTATAATAAATAGATAAATAAAATGAATAACGTCACTATGGAAACATTTCCAATGATATTTCCAATTGAATAGGAAGATCAGGTTTTAATTATTCTATTGATACTTGTCATAGATTGGAGAGTTTTTTTTCCAAACGAAACTAGAGGTACTGTGAGCGATGAGCTCACTAAATGATACCCCCCGCCTCCCATATGGTTATAACTGGTGAAAAAGTCCATGTTTTCCTCTGGCTGGGAAACCCAAAATATGTGTCGGATCAAAAAGTAAAATAGGAGGTGCACAATGGCAATATGTAATAAAGATTCTGTGAAAGTTGCATCAAATTTCATTCAGTGGTATGAGAGGAGTTGCGGATAAGAGATCGGTACCCCAAAGCGTAACAGACGGACGGACAGACAGACGGACGGACGGACAGCTAGACGGACGGACAGACGTACAGACGGACGGAATTAACGATTACTATATACCCTCCCGCTTTTCAAGCGGGGGGTATAAAGAACCGTTCGCGGTAGCTCAAAGGTAGCACCTACTGTGCCCCACAGTGGGATTCGAACCCGCCACGTAAGGTTCAACTCCTTACTTCGTGACTCTAGAGAAGACGCTCTAACCACTGCTCCATGAGGGCGACGCGGCACATTAAAATAAATCAAAACATAAGAAAAGTCGCATCGCAGTCATTTACGGTTATTTACGTAAAACTGAAGTTAACTTTACACCATTTGAAAGAAATATTGCAAGATGTCCAAAGCTAGATCAAATACAAATGAATTTAAAGCATGGCTAGTCACACAAGTAGAAACTTTATTATACACCCCGCTTGAAAAGCGGGAGGGTATATAGTGATCGGGATTTCCGTCCGTCCGTCCGTCTGTCTGTCCGTCCGTCCGTCTGTACGTCCGTCCGTCCGTCTGTTACGCTTTTTCTCTTATCCGCAACTCCTCTTATACTACTGGGTGAAATTAAATGAAACTTTCACAGAATCTTTATTACATATTGCCATTGTGCACCTCCTATTTTATTTTTTTATTCGACACGTATTTTAGTTTTCTCAGAGCAAAAAATGGACATTGCCATTTTTTGTTTACCTATGACGTCACATAATAGAAGCTTCTGGGTAACATTTCATAGGACGAGTTATTCCTCTTTACACATTACCGTAAAACAATATAAAGCAACACATCGACATTATGGGAGGCGGGGGGTATCATTTAGTGAGCTCATTGCTCACAGTACCTCTAGTTTTAATTTGTATGTTATTTGGTGAGATTTGCATTAATGTAGTGCAAACATATTTCAAAAATTATGCAAACGATGGTCAGAGGGTCATCTTCATGTATCCGGTTAGGTCATATCTTAAAATGGAAATATTATGCAACAAAAACAAAGCAATTGACATCAAACTCATCCATGTAACACGGGGCCCATGGGCACATCGCTCACCTGAGCACTGTGGCTAGGAAAAATCAATTCAGTAAATGCCTAAGTGGTCCCGATCCTAAAAGAGGGGGGGGGGGGGTTGATTTGAACAAACTTGAATCTATGCATACCTGAATCTACACTAACTAAGAGTGCTTATATATTTTTTGACTAACTGTGGCTTTATTCCAAATAAGTTATGTACTTTTGTGGTCCCACCCAATCCTGGGGGTCATGATTTTAACAAATCTTTATCTAAACTACCTGAGGATGCTAAGATTTGAACAAGACCAATCAAGATTTTTTTAAATATATTTTTCCTATATATTCCTATGTAAAACTTTGATCATCCATTGTGGCTATACCCCGGGGGGTCATGATTTGAACAAACTTGAATCAACATTACCTGAGGATGCTTCCATATAAACATTACCAATCATGGCTTTTCTGTTATTAAGAAGAAGATTTTTCCTATATATTCCTATGTAAAACGTTGGTCCTCCATTGTGGCCCCACCCTACCACCGGGGGTCATGACTTGAATAAATTTGAATGTACACTACCTGAGGATGCTTCTACACAAGTTTCATCTTTCCTGGCCCAAAGTTTCTACATTAATACCAGTAATTTATATTGATATGGTGGCAAGAAGTATAAAACTCAAGTCCATCCCTCTCCCTTCCCCAATAAACTTTTGAGTGCTAAGCTAATTTGTTTTTACCTAGCCCATGTGCTCAGGTGAGCGATGTTGGAGGTTGCTCCCACTACTTTGATACGCGTTGCTATGGGCTTGTTCTCTGGGTAATAGCGTTTGAAGCTCCATAGCTACAGATTCCTTGTGAACTGTATAAGTGTCAGCTTCCCAATAACAAGTTTAAGATACAAGCTTATAAATATCTTATCTTTTGAAAAATGGAAATTATCTCAAATGAACACAATACAATGTATATGCTAGATAAACATTACCAGGGTTAAGGCTTTTATTAGGTGTACACAATTTTGTGTGCTTGCTCATTTCATATTCATGTTTTCTTTCACTGCATTTAATTTCCAGCATTTTGCATAGGATTTCCGACATGCTTAAAATTTCAATTCCGAAAATTTTATTTCATTTCCGACATTTTTTGTATTTCTTGGATATCTGCAGGATCCCTTTCTGACAATTTTTTTGCTTGCCAAACAGCTGGAAATAAAATTTTAAATAAATTTATTTCATGTTCAAAAAATAAAAACAAACATATTTAAAATTCAATACACACTTATACAAGTAGCAATAATACTTATATTAATATCTTTCCCTGTGCTACATGTACAGGCGTAATTGTGATGTCTTCGTATTAAAACATTCTACTGTCTTTTGAGAGTTCCTTCAACGATGCTTGTTTTTTCCTATGGCCGTGTAAGAAGCGGGGGGGGGGGGGGGGGGGGGGCTATTATGCGGATACTTAGCTATAGAATACTATTGAAAACTTCACCACAATATACATGTGCCCCCTCAATAATGATAATATCTTACGATATTCTATTTTTTGGTTTGTTTGCCAAGGAATTTTCGGTTGTTGATAGTGCCCAAACTGAAAATATATGGTTGTAACCTCCACCCCAAAATTGCTTACTAAGGGTCTGTATTTACCAGAAGTGGTTTCTGTATGTCTTTTAATTTCCATCCTTACATATCTGAGTTCAAACTTAAAACTGCACTTTAAAAGGGAGATGTGCCTCTGAGAATTTCAGGTCACCTGAGTCTTTCAGGTGACCTATTGCTATCTCTGTTCGTTCGTCGTCGTACGTCATTCGGCGGTCTTAAACATTTGAACATTTTTAGCTTCTTCTCTGGAAACACTGAACCAATTCAAATGTGAAAAAACCCATCTATGGGTAAAAGAGGAACCCACAATTGTGAATTTCGGGGTCCCTGGAGCCTGAGTGGTGGGACCAAAACCACTAAAATTAATGCAGTCCTTAAAAATCTTCTTTACTTCTAGATATCAAGCAGTGAAACTGTTGGAATGATTGTAATAAGCATTGAGTCTTCTACACTGTTCCAAAATAGTTAAATTCTTTACTCCAGGGTCAGGGGTTCTATACGCTAGGGCTGGGCTAAATAGATTATATAGTGAAAATACATTATTTCTTTGAAAATCTTCTTCTCTGCTCCTGTGTGAAATTAATTAAGTACATAGTTACGGTGAGAAAGAATTCCTGTTCTACAGTAGTGAATTTCATGGGATCTGGTGTTAGGACAGGGCTTAAATGATTATATAGTTAACATGCATTAATTCTTTGAAAAATACATAGTTATGATGAGGAAGGGTGCCTCATCTAAAATCGTGAACTTTATGGCCCCAGGGTCAGGAGTTCTGGTGTTAGGATACAAGGCTCTTTTGATTATATAGTAAACCTGCATTTTTAAAATGGAAAATCTTCTTCTCTGCCCCTGGGTATTAAACAACTAACTACATGCGTAGTTACAATGAGGAAGGGTATCTCTTTGAAAATTGTGAATTTCATGGCCAAAGGATCAGGTTGTGAATTTCATGGCGCAAGGACCAGGATTTCTGGTGTTACTTAGGGTGGGGCTCTAATCATCAAATGGTGAAATTGCAATAAATCTTTGATAATTAATCTTCTTCTTTGCTCCCAGGTATTTAACAAACTGACTACAGACATATAGTTATGATATAGCTATGATCGTTCTTCCAGAATTGTGAATTCCAAGCCCCCCGGAACAGGGGTATCATAGAGGGCTGGGGTGGGGTGTGTGTCTTTGACTATATACTAAAAATGAATTATTTCTTTGAAATCCACTCCATGATGTTAATCAAACATTTATGATGAGCAAGAATTGTGAAATGTGTGGACCTGAGGGTCAGGGGTTCTTGTGGGGTGGAGACACTACTGAGTAATGCTGAATATTACTTAGAGTGGTTAAAATGCATCTTTTTTATTCCCCTCCTCTGTCTATGGTTATAAAGTTACCAAACTACATAGGCGTCGGAACCGGGGGGCTAGGGGCTTAGCCTGTTCCTAGTATAGACATTAAACATTGCTGCATAAGTTCAGCCCCCCACTTTCCACAGACACGTTGCAGAATAGGTTTTAAATTAGGAATTCAAAGTGGTGCTGTTTGGAAAAAAATTGGTACTGAATATCGAACCTACCCCCTCCCCCCCTCCCATGTCATGGCCTTTGGTTTAAAACGGGATAACCCAAAGTCAATTGCAAAACTCATTATTTTGGATTTCAATGATTTATTCATGATTATTCATTATTTATTCTGTAATATTTTTCATGAGTTAAGTCTTAAATCCTAGCTACTTTCATTGCATTAAAGTACTGCTTGAAAAATGTCAGAGATGAAAACTTTAAAATATCGGAAATGAAAACAGTTCCGGAAATAAAATGCAGCCATTGAAACCATGCATTGTGAGTGTCTTGAATCTAATCCACAATATCGTACAAGTTACATTAAAACATTATCTATGGAAAACATCCTTAATTTGGTATCATATTATTTTTGCCCGTTCACACATACAAGAAATTTTGCCCCGTTTTAAATTCGCCCAGTCACAGTTCTGTTTAAGAATTTATACTGTGTTTTGTTAACTCGCATAAATTCACTCACATTTAGTTGTTGCCATGACAACAATTGATGGAACATTTCTTTTATTTTTTCAGCACTCTCCACAAATACAATCATCAACACATTAATTTAATATTCATTTCCATGACGAACACTGATCTAAAAGTCAAATCTCTTTACAGGAGGCATAGGGTACATTGGTTGCCATGCACTGGGAATTATTGCCATGTGTTGATTAAAGACGAGAAAAAAAAATTAAGATTGACCAACAGTTCATTGTCAGTTTTGCTCAATCACATTTTCCTGACTTAATTTGAATAAGCCTTAATAAGATTACATGAATACACGCCAAAATTACCTTTCTTTGCCTTGTTGCTATGGAGTACCTGTCGTTGCTATGGAGATAAAGAATTATGCAATATTCAATAATGTGCTAGGGAGACCGAATTTAATTATACTATTTTAAAATTTGTATCTCGTTTATCATAAATAACCGTTCATTTGATTTTTCCGTAAACTTTTTACATTGTTTCTCATTTTATGCATCAAAAAGCCCATTTTTGTTGCTAGGCAACAGATTCGATTTTCAAAAGAGCCCATGGATTTGACTTCAAATTCTAAAAGAGAAATACCTCTGCTTTTATGTGAGATACATGCAACAACTGTATTAATCTGGCCATTTTTAAAATTTGGCCTTGAATATTGCCAAAATCACGAGAAATGCTGAATCAGCAAAACTTGTAAAACATATGTACCTTCCAATGTCTACCACAGAACTGACTTAAGACCTAAATATTTTTTATTACATTATTAGAACACAATACATGTGTATCTTTATTACACCCAGAAGTAAGAATAATTCTCATGGTATTTACGTGTTATTTTAAGCCTCAAAGATAGGTGACTTTTTGTCCTTCAACACTGAAAAATCCGCCAGTTGCTAAGGAAATTTCTTTGGCCGGGTTTCCATGATTACCATGACTCAAAACATTTTTCATTTTACATACATTGTTCATACTTCAAAATAAATCTATGGGTGGAAAATCATCAAATTCTGAAAACCTTCATGTATCACTTTTTTACAGTTTTGTCTGATTTTTAAGTGGACTGGTACTTTAAAAATAATAATATTATTTAACTTTTATTGATGAGTTTTGTTAAACACAACACTACCAGTACATGTAAATGTTAAAAATAAGATAACAGTACTAGTATTTAGTTACCCCTGGAGTTAGGTCGTGTCAGTACCGCTGTAGTTAGGGCTAGTTCACGTAGAGCAGGGAGACTTAAACTGGGCAGTCTGTCTCGTAGAATTCCATGGAAAACTTCTCCGTGAGATAAGATAAACTGCATCACCTATATAACAGCATGGAATGGTTAATACGGTAAAATTTCTGTGGTTTGTTGTCCGAAATTTTTATAAATGGGTCATCCCTTACTCACAAATTTTGATTTGTATCTATGTCTGACTTAAATATGATATATGTTCACAAGAATATAGACACCCACTAATCAAAATTTGATGGTAAATTCTACATGATATAAAGACTTTCTAGAAAGCATCTAAAAGCTGTTATCAGTTCCAGGGACTCTGCATTAAGGTCATACGCAACGTAGTTTGAACTTTTTGGGGTTCTTCCCTGGAGTTGAAGAGTTCCACTAAAGGAAGGATCTGTGTGCAATAGTTTTAAAGTCTATATATGGATTTGTACACCTCTTCTAAAACAATTTTTGATGAATTAAAATCTGGAATTTGTGTTTTATAATTTTTGTACATTTTTTTTTGAATTATGCAAAAATTTTCAAAATTCAATATCTTTTCAAAACCTCTGGTAAGGTATGCTGATTTTTTGTCTATGAACATGTAATTATATTATAAGTTTAAATTTGGAATATCTTTGAAATCTATCAGTAGGTAAGGTACGTTGTATATGTCCTTAAACAAGATCTAAAGCTGGAGAAGATATTCACCTGATTGCCACAGTCTTCTATGCCCAGTGAAGTTAACATGGCCAGACAGAATTTGAGGGCAGCAAAGAGAAGCTGACAATCAATAGCGGGCCATGGGGCTGGGCAGGAAGTCCTCCTCTGTATCTACACCGGCTTTATCTCTGTAAAAATCATAACAAGGTCAACAATCAACATGACTGCAATTTTGCTCAGGCAATGCTTACATAACTTTTAATCCTCATTCAGTATATATATAAACTTCCAAACTGTATATCCTAAAACTGCTATTAATAATTTTGTACATTTTCATAGTACTTTGACATGTTTGATTTCCGTAGACATTCAGCAGGTCAAGGAAACTACCTTATATGGATATTGTTGCGATTGCGCACAGAGGTGCTCACAGCAAACAATGGTCCAATCCAGTGAATGAGCCGAAAAGCATTATGGTCTACTACATGTTTATTTTTACTACAAACACGTGGGTCAGGGAAATTTAGGACGCGATTTCAAACGACTGCAGGAAAGTCAGCTAACAATTTTTTTGAAATGTGTTATGAAAAATACGAAGATTGGGTACTAATTAAGATTCCCCATGCTCACATTAACAAACAAAGTAAGTTTTCCTTGTTAAATAGTACTTTGAAATACCGCTCACAAAGTCATCACAAGTAAATAAGACTCAAGTTCTTTAACTCGATATTCGTTAATTTGACATGTTACTGTTTAAATTTACTGGGTATTTAGTTGTTGCTCAGTTATTTGTTACTAGAAATTAAAAGTTGCATATTTTATAAACAAAAACAAAAAGAATTCTTGAGTTGCACTTTTTTATTATTTACCTGTTATATAAACCCTCATGCACATTGATCATAGAACGTGAGTAGCAAATATTTCGTAGTTGTATACGGTGGAAGCATTGACAATACATGAGCACACCTCAGAGTTGATTGTTTTTGGACCAAGGAATAGTCACGTGAAATTGACTTTTCACTGAAATCATAGCACGGGGAAAGCTGTCAACAAACGGACTTGTACAATGGAGTGGAGGAAATCCTAATTTTTATCATTGTAAATCATTTGTATATTACGAAAGCCGGATAGGCTCATTTCTGAAAAGATAAAAAAATATTTAACTCGTTATAACGAGTTAATTATCTCGTTATAACGAGTTAGTATCTCGTTATAACGAGTTAATTACCTTGTTATAACGAGTAAATTATCTCGTTATAACGACTTAGTTTTATCTCGTTATAACAAATTACTTATCTCGTTATAACGAGTTAATATCTCGTTATAACGAGTTGATTAACTCGTTATAGCGATTTAGTTATCTCGTTATAACAAATTAGTTATCTCGTTATAACGAGTTAATTAACTCGTTATAACGAGTTAGTTATCTCGTTATAATGAGTTAATTATTTCGTTATAACGAATGAATTATCTCGTTATAACGAGTTAATTATCTCGTTATAACGAGTTAGTTATCTCGTTATAACGAGTTAATTATCTCGTTATAACGAGTTAATTATCTCGTTATAACGACTTAGTTATCTCGTTATAACGAATTAGCTATCTTGTTATAACGAGTTAGTTATCTCGTTATAACGAATTAATTATCTCATTATAACGAGTTAATTTTCTCGTTATAACGAGTTAATTAACTCGTAATAACGAGATAATTAACTCGTTATAACGAGTTAGTGATCTCGTTATTATACAAATATGGACTCAATGTAGGTCAATATGCATTTATAATGACCCAGTATGACAGATATTGACCGAAGATACATGTAGTATATCGACCGAGGGCGCTAGCCCGAGGTCGATATACTTCATGTATCTGAGGTCAATATCTGTCATTCTGGGTCATTATAAATGCATATTGACCGTGCATTGAGTCCATATTTATTATATTATATATATAATGATTTCCCAAATTAATTAGTGCAAAGTATATCATCCTATTATTTACAAAGATAGTATTAACCAAAAATAAGTTGAATGTAAACGTTTCAGAATTCATTGAATATTACTCAGAGGAAATTGTTTTGGCAATAAATTTCCCATATCATAATAATGACGTCTCGTATCTATCTCCGAATAACACAGAGTACCCCCTTCCCCAGATTGAGAATCGCTCTCGTTTACACTTGCAGATGAAATGCACTGACAAAATATAAATACCTACGTCTTCTAAGAAAAGATACAATCTTACAAGGTATGCTTGTCTATATTTTCTTTAGTCTCCGTAATCGTGTAAACAGCGTCAAAACTCTGCTGGCTGAGTGGAAAGGTCGAACTCAACCATGAAATGGTATGTGCTAATTATTCCCAAAAAATATTCACAAATATCCTAATAATTGTTTTGTATTATCAGTCTCAGAGTTCTACACTATATGTTTTAACTTTTCCTCACCTACAACTTGCGAACTTCCATGTTTGTCTAAAGCGAAAGTGAAAACGAGGCAGCTCGTGCAAGTCATTATTCGCTTTCAGCGGTCGTTATAAAAAAATAAGTACTTCGTATTGACCAATCAGATTACCGGATTTCACAAAGTTATATAATATAACGAGTTAATTATATCGTTATAACAAGTTAGTTATGAATTAAAAATGACTGTAGTTTTAATGTCATTGATGTTTATTTGATAATTATCAGTCATACTTCACTTCAATATTGATAAAAAGTTGCAATTTTAATTTGCGATATGGTTTAAATAATATTAATCCTGAACTATCTTGCTGTCAATAATCACCATTTGATAAGTATAGCAATCTTTATTCGAACACATTTACACATTTAAACGTGAACTTCTCCAAGGACACAATATAAAAAGAATCTATTACCAAATGTACTTGCTTCAATGTTTGGCAATTTATTTATGACAACTTTCTCCAATAAAAGACACTAATTTTTCTGATATGTTTTGGATGACTTATTAGCTTTCATAACCAATGTCTTAGTACCGAAATTAATACAGTATAATAGGAAACTAACGCAGGCGTTAATGCAACATATATCATATACACTTACAGTGTGACATATATATTATTTTGAGAGTCAGAAATGTTTTGAAGAAGGGGGATATGGAGACATCAGCAATGAGGCCATGGGCGTAAAATTCGGGGGCTACTGCTCACTCATAACACAACATCAAGAGGCAGTCATAAGTTTCCGTATACATGTACATGTATTTGTCTTCGGTCTTTTAAGTATACAATACAAATCAACTGCATTGTTTATACATAAACAGAATACAATCACAGGCACAACCCCTCGAAAAAAAAAAATAAACTAGTTTGCTGTTTTTCAATAAAAATCTTTATCATACACACTATAAACAAACTTGATCAACTCGGTTTTATATGTTATACTACTATACTTCCTATCACTTAGATATATCAACTTTAGATAAGTTTTTAACACGTCATAACGAGAAAATTAACTCGTTATAACGAGAAAAATTAACTCGTTATAACGAGTTAATTTTCTCGTTATAACGAGATAATTAACTCGTTATAACGAGAAAACTAACTCGTTATAACGAGATAACTAAGTCGTTATAACGAGATAACCAAGTCGTTATAACGAGATAACTAAGTCGTTATAACGAGATACTAATTCGTTATAACGAGATAATTAACTCGTTATAACGAGATAACTAAGTCGTTATAACGAGATAACTAAGTCGTTATAACGAGATAACTAAGTCGTTATAACGAGATAACTAAGTCGTTATAACGAGATACTATCTCGTTATAACGAGATAATTAACTCGTTATAACGAGATAACTAAGTCGTTATAACGAGATAACTAACTCGTTATAACGAGAAAAATTAAGTCGTTATAACGAGTTAATTTTCTCGTTATAACGAGATAATTAACTCGTTATAACGAGATAACTAACTCGTTATAACGAGATAACTAAGTCGTTATAACGAGATACTAAGTCGTTATAACGAGATAATTAACTCGTTATAACGAGATACTAACTCGTTATTATACAAATATGGACTCAACGTAGGTCAATATGCATTTATAGTGACCCAGGATGACAGATATTGACCTCAGATACATGTAGTATATCGACCGAGGGCGCTAGCCCGAGGTCGATATACTTCATGTATCTGAGGTCAATATCTGTCTTCCTGGGTCATTATAAATGCATATTGACCGTGCATTGAGTCCATATTTATTATATTATATAAATAATAATTTCCAAAATTTTTTAGTACAATGTATATCTTCCTTATGTTTACAGAGATAGTATTAACCGTAAATTAGTTGAATGTAAATGTTTCAGAATTCATTGAATATCACTCAGAGGAAATTGTTTCGGTAATAAATTTTAACCCATATCATAATAATAACGCAATATATCTATCTCAGAATAACACAGAATACCCCCTCCCCCAGATTGAGAATCGCACTCGTTTACACAGAGGAAATGCACTCACAAAATATAAATGCCTATGAATTCTAAGATAAGATACAATCTTACATGGCATGCTTGTCTTTATTTTCTTTAGTCTCCGTAATCGCGTAAACAGCGTCAAAACTCTGCGCGCCGAGTGTAAAAGTCGAACTCAACGGACAATCATGAAAGGGTATCACTGTATGTGCTTAGTATTCTCGAAAAATGTTGACAGATATGCTTGTAATTGTTTTGTATTATCAGCCTCAGAGTTCTTCACTATGTCTTTTAAATTTTTCTTACCTACAACTTGCGAACTTCCATGTTTGTCTAAAGCGAAAGTGAAAACGAGGCAGCTCGTGCGAGTCATTATTCGCTTTCAGCGGTCGTTATTAAAAAATAAGTACTTCGTATTGACCAATCAGATTATCGGATTTCACAAAGTTATATAATATAACGAGATAATTAACTCGTTATAACGAGTTAATTTTTTTTTATCTTCTCAGAAATGAGCCTATCCGGCTTTCGTAGTATATAAATGTGAGCATGAAATTAGTAGATAATGATGTTCATATTGTATTAAGTTTGTAAAATGCTTGGAAAAATGCATCACGTTTTTCCGAGAGCGATTTTAAAAATTGGGCCTTTTAGAAACACGTCATGTGTAGTATTTTTGTAGTAGACCATAATGCAACTCATTGAGCTGATTGGTCGATTTGTCAGTCACGTTGGTACCTCACTTAACATGTAAATTTATTCCGACGTCACAGAAAATAGTTTCCTCGACCTGTTCAGAAGACCCTATAGCTGACACACCCACCTGTCAAAGTCAGGTCGGAGGTCAAAGATGACACATCCAGCCAGTCTCTGCATGACTCCACACTGTAACAAGGTGTGGGCCCCCACAGCAGATTCTGCCACCCACGTCAACAAACTCTGTAACACAGTCATTGTATTTATCTATTTACATGTAAACTCTGTGACACACAGTGACTTTGTATTTATATGTCAGAGCCCTTAAATTTAATATCAACATGATCAATATATCAATGGACTATTGCTAAATCATAATTTTTGAATTTGTTACAGATAAATGTGTTGTTAGATGCATGATGACAAATGTTAATTAGGGCAGAATAAGGTAATAATGGAAGACCTACAAGTTTAGACAGGTAGATGTACAGCACTCTGAGTTGGGGGTGGGGGACACAAGGGTCTGTAGCGGCTGGTCGTCATGGAGAAGGCTGTCCACCAGGTGTTGGAGGTAACCTTTAGAGGACAGAAAGGTCATCCACTGCTGGAACTTGTCCATAGACAGAATGGTGTCTAGTACTGAAAGAGCCAGCATCTACAAAAGACAATATTCATATAGGTCATGCACTGCTGGAACCTGTTCAAAATGAAACCAGTGGAACTAAACATACACAAGGATATGAAGATTCACTCCTTACCCGTCCTACATCATGTCCATCACATGCATCACGACACACCATGTCCATAAAGTTGTCGTCATACGACAGAATTGTAGCCACATTTTTCTGCCTCAGCTCTCATACTCAGAGTGGGCATCGGCCAAAATCCTCTTTCCAACCCCATCACCTCCTGCCTCTGTCAGAAATAGGAAACATCGTTATCAGCCTTTGTCATAGTGGTTTTTAGTAAATAAATAATTAATAAAGAATATTTATTAATCTCAAATTGTTTATAGTTTTCATTATCATCATTGCACTTTTCACTTTGCATGTTACTAATTCTGACTGGCTGACCTTTTCAACCTTTGACATTACGTGTAACGTAGTTTTATTGGCCAAAGGTTTTGGCGGTAAGTTTTCTATTGTTCAATGTGATGTGCTGGGGCACTTCCTTCTCGCAGGGACAGCCAACGATACCGGCTGTGAGACGAGTCTGTCTCGACCCTGACATAATTATTCAACATTATACATTATTTTGTGTTTTACAAGATTTCAATTCGAGTATTAGTAAATACAGACCACATTCAGTTCAGTATACATGTAATATTTGAACAACTTGTTACCAGCTTCTTGTAGCAGTCAGCCTAATTCCATAAATTGGTAAGCTATAGGAATTATTACTTGTTTTTTTACATTTTTGATAAACTTTGATAAATTATTCAAACTTAAAATTTCTATCTAAACAGGATTTTGGTAATTCTGTAAATTGTAAGAGTTATTTCCCTTTTTACACATTCATGAATTTGGAACAGTTATAATCTGTTAAATCTATTTTTATTTAAATCTGTGTCGATGTATGAGGACTGCATTAAACTGAATATATTGTTTGATGTCATTTACTTATTGTATTTTATTTCTTTTAGGGCCGATATTTTCACTTTATTGATGTTTATATGTGGAACAAGATCCTGGAAATAAAGAATCCATACCCCAATACACTGTGTTCATCATTCATCAATATGACACGGTCACAATAGTAGTTTATGTTTTTATTTCATATTATATAATATCTCACTTGAAGAGCATGACTGTATTCTATAAATTACATACAATTTTACGTTGATCCATGTATGCCGCAAAGTAAGAGCAAAATCTGTGGAGTTTTCTTGTAATTCAGGCTTTGACATCTTACTTTGAATTAGGCTATATTCTTAAACAAGACACATGACATCTACTTAGACATACCTGTATCTATGTGAGTCAGTGAATTGGGTTTCTGACAGCAGGGCCCCATATAGATTGGCTCTTACCCTCTGCTGGCCACCACCTTAACAGAATTAGATATTGATTAAAATTTCTTAGTTTTGTACAAAGTTGTTTGAAATTATAGTTTTATAAACACGCACTTGAAAAATTTCTTTTCAGCGCAAAAGTATGTACATATACACTTCAGATATTTCACTGTGTTCTTACTTGAAAGCAGAATGTGATCTATTACTCCTCTAAGCACCAGTTGAAGGGAGGAAGCAAATTGGGTTTGTGACCCTGACACTTGACCCCATGACCCCATTTGACCTTGACCTGCTGTGGAGTCCAGCATGGTGAGGAAGTGTGAGGCTTCGTCGTCGGTGACAGAATCCTGACAGAAACACTGACGTAGATTTGTCATCAGAGTCAGGATAATCCCAGCCACAGGGGCAGTTAACTCTGTCAAGGCATCATCTTCTGTCACCTAAAAATAATGGATAAATTGACATTAAATGTAGTATCAAGGATGCAATACTCCATTTTTTTCTCTGTAAAATCAAAATTTCCCTTCCCTTTTCCCCAAATGAAAGCAATTTCAACATGAATATTGTGATAGGACGAAAATGTGTCGGTACCATTTTTCCATACATCTTTTTGCAAGATTTACACTTTAACCTTAAGTATACAGATGAAATTTGGCCAATACCTGGCATTAGTTAGATGCTCATGTTCTTGTACATTAATACCACATACTTCAGGGTTGGATGGTAAACAAGACACACAGATGTTGTTCTACCTTTCTCTGTAGTTCCTGTAGCAGCTCAAACAGTACGGTCTGTCTGTCCTCAGTGGTAAGTAGGTCCTCGGGACACGCGGTCAACAGAACCTCGGTCACCTGACGCCACGCCTCCAGAGCCTGCTGTTTGGTGGACAGTTCCTGTCGGATTCTGTTACGTAGGACCATGTGATGCAGAATATTCTCCACTTCCTGAAAAATTTATAAAATTTTTATGTTTTGCTGAAATGTTGACATCCTTGGGGGTGGTTAAAGAAATTAAGACAACATGAAAGAGACAGTCATCGTGGAGAAGAGTGAAATCAATGGCATAAGATTGGGCTGGGAAGAGAGACTGTGTAGCTAGCTTAACATCACCTGACACAAAGAGGATTAAGTAAGGAAGGAAGTTAAATGCTTAATAATTGGGATATTGATCTCACCTCTAATACTCGCGGTCTCTGAGTCACCATGATATTGCCCTGGTAGTTGTTCAGTTCGTTCAGCAGTAGGCAGTGAAGTCGTTTGACGTCACAATACAAAATGTCCTGTTCGGTTCAAGTCTCTACACTTTTGATGGCTTGTTCAATCATCGACAATTCAAAAAACTCCAACTTCATTGTAGGAGGATAGCGCTGTGAAAAGTCAACTTCATCCAAAAGTCCTAGCAACTTCCTGCACACTTGGTGGCTGTCACATTAAAATCTTCTAATCGAACACGCAAGTAATTTGTATTCACCTGTGGGGAGCCTCCATTTTTCACTGGGTTTATTAAACCCCGTTTTATACCTCAAATCACTGGACCTTTAAAATATTGGTAAGCCCGTGCTTCAGTTTGGACACGGCAGTCCAGGTAGAAGGACGTTTTCAAAACTTCTCAAGATTTACATATTTGATTTGTATTATACACGTGGCAGACTACTGAGGGTATTTCAACCCAACCCTTATTAGAATTTATGCTATGGTCCTGCTTCTCTGAGGTAAGCCTTATTTGCATTTGTTTTTATTATTTTATAAAGTTGTAAATATCTTAAAACACCCAGACACGGAATTTCTAACATATGCAACTTTAAGCTATTCTATTTCATATTTTTAAGTTCTGTTATTTATAGTTACATTGTATTCGAAAACTGTTTGAGTCTAATTGTACGGTGGATTGTTTGTGTCTTTATTTGTCGGTTCGATGTTCTATAATAACTGTTGTGAAGTATAGCAATTATTGCATTGTACATATTGCACTGTAACGTTTCACAGCGTAAATTATATGTCTATATTATTCTGTGTATGATATTTAATAGGTCTCATTGATCATTCCTGTAAAGTTGTGTAGAGATGGCGGCCCGTGCCAGTCACATCTCATAGTCTTGAACGCAAGACGGACGTATAACCTCCTCGGCACTGGAGAGGGGGGGTGTAATCTCTTCGCACTGGAGAGGGGTGTCTGAGCCTCCTTAGCGGCAAGAGACAGTAGTGTATCCCAAACACCGTTTGGAACCATAGACTACCGGCATTCGGGGGACACACCGACGACCACACACCAAAGCAGTTTATTTTGTTGTATAATATTTTGTTAATTAAAATGTAAAGTTTAAATGTAGAAAAGATTTTCTGTTATTTATCAAAGAGGAGTTTGGATCACTATTCTCTACGCACGGTCATTATTGGACAAAATGGTGTCAGAAGTGGGATAACAGAGGGATAGTCGATCCATTCTCATATCTAGTCATTGTAAAAAGAAATCAATTTTTGTTTTCAATTTCTACCAATAGCAGTGTTACAAATTTTTGGACATTTATGTTACCTACAAGTTTATTTTTTTCATTTGTTATTTTGTTTCTGTTGTGTGATCATTTTACGTGTTTTGTAGAAGAATTGTCCGGTTCTGGATGTTTGAGACCTCTGAGAAGTGTTTCCAAAAGTCGGCAATGTCTCAGTAAGTTGGACCATATCAGCATCCATATTGTTTGCCATGGGTATTGTATAGTAAGTTCAAAACTAACTATCTATTGTGTCCAATGTGATGTGAGGTTTTGGTCATTTAACTTACTTTCAAGTCAGTATAAGAAGATGGACATTCTAAAAGAATTAAAAGAATATGGAGAGTCCTTAGGGTTGAAAGATGAGCAGTTA